TAGTTATATTTATAATGTTAATATTCAATAAATTTAATCACTTGATGGTAGTCTCTTAGTTTTGGTATTTGATAAGTGAGATTCAGGGAAAAAAAAACCTGAATCTGTAGGCCAGAACCCGTTCCGGATTCAGAACGGCCCGTTCTGGTTCTACTTTTTATGTGCATTTTTTTGAATCTGGAACGGCCCGTTCTGAAATCAGAACGACCCGTTCAGTAAAAAGTGCTAGTTGGAAAAATAAATTTGCACGGTTACTATGTGGGTAAATATTTTTTAAAATAGTATTATTTGAGTAAAAAACTCACTATTGTCTATATATTTTTATTTTTTCCCACTTTTGAAAATATATACTATTATATTTTCTTAATTAACATTTTAAGTAAATAGAATATGCTAGAAACCACTATAGTAAATTTTGATTTCTCCCGGTGATATAAAAGTATAATGAGATATTATCTGATAATAACTGTTAAAATAATTCTTACCAATCAAAACAATTTTGAGACTCCAAAATTAACAGTTTGAAACGTCTATTTTTTTTTAATTCATATATTTTTTTACCGATAAAACAGTCTGATATATAATATTAACTAAATCAATCATTTCTTATATTGTTCCTCTGCTTCCAATTAATCATATAATGTAAATAATATTTATTATTAGAGATAAAAATAAGTTAAATATTAAAGGGAATAGTGCATACTAAAAAAATTCTGTGGTAAAATAGTTTTATTAAGATAAATTGTGTAATGATCATGTAAGTTTTTACCCTTTATAGTTTAATAATTAGGTATTGAAAAATATAACTCTAATTACTTGTAGTTAACATATAAATAATCATTGAATATATATGTAGTAATATATTTATAAAAAGAAATTAGCATTCACTAAAATGATAAGTAAATCTCTTAACATAATTACAACTATGATTATACATGTATATAAATACAATAATTTAAAGTTGAAAACATAAACTTTAGTAGTAAGTCAAGTAACTATTACAACGTAATTACATAAGAGTAGTCCAAAATAACACTATCATCTTTTAGCATGGCTCTCAACATATACTCTTTGTCTAGCCTAATCATGTCCTCCTCTCATAACAAATATGATCATCTCAATCCATCCATAAGAAAACATGCAAGGGTAAGTTTAAATTCAAAATAAGCAACATAATATAGGAATAAATAAATTATCTAAATGAAGCAACTACATCAACAAACTCAACAATAACCTTAGCTAAATCCCAACATCATTAAGCACATCCATCACGATTCTTCTACTTAACAATTTACAACATGTCAACTCAACATATAGACAACTCAACATATAGACAACACAATACATACACAACTCGGTCTCATATCAATTAACAACACAATCCAAATTAACAACAAGGCAACATTTCAATTTACAATCCAACAATACAAATTCTCAACATAATCACTTAGCATATATACAACATAACCACTTAGCATATATACAACACAACATATTAACACCACAACATATGCATAACATAGTAACTATATGCATCATCACGCATTTCAATTAAAAGATCTCTTACAACACAAGTGAATAGTATAACAACCCTACCAAACTAACTTAACAGCGCAATCCTTTTGAGCTTGCTAGATCAACACCAAATTTGGATGAAAATCTACAACACAACATGATTTCTCGAATTTCATCACTCAAACTATGAAAGTTTAGTATTCATGTAAAGGATAAAATAATTTGGGTGTGAGCATACCACAACCTTAGCAGGCATAACTAAGCCTAATTTGGAATTAGCACATTGACTATCCTCTAATTATTGTTCCCTTTCTAGTACTTAATTGGAGATTTTGGGCTCCAACCGTATACCTAATTGGTTTCAATTACTTTATACATGTATGATTTGACCTTGCCCCTATATGAATTTACATTTGATTACTTATAATTAATATAACTCGACCTATCCCTTATACTATTTTACGTTAATCATTTTATAATTAATATGGCTTGTCCTAGCCTCATACTATATTAACTAAGGATCTAAAAGAAATTCAACACTTTATTTTAAGAGTCAATTTCTCAATAAGGGTTTGAACAACTGGACTCGTAGAGTACCATAACATCATATCCTTACAATGAGATATTCATAATTTAAAACAATATATCTCCTCTACTTCTAAGACAATCAACATAACTCAACCTCATGCATTAAGTATTATCAACACAACTACTTTAACACTATGCAATATTCACCTTTACTACTTTCAAATCTTGTCCACTTAAATAGGGTTAGCATCACCAAATTAAAGAACTTCAAGGGTATTCATGCTCAACGCCCCTTAATCCACGTCGAGCATGACAAAGTCAAAGAGCACCCTTCTAACTCATGTCCAACGCTACCAATTCCTCCCCAACATTAGTGATACAGAGAGTCTCTAGTCTACATCAAATCTAATGCCTTGAAACTGCACTCAACGTAATGATAGTTTTGCACTTAGTAGGTTCATGTTTTGACTCAATCCACTTGAAACTCAGAAGATTACCAACATTTAACTCATGAAAATAGATATACACTTCACAAGCTTTTTAATTTTGACCAAAAAAACAGCATGCAACCAATATTTGACTAGAAATCATCAAGCTTCACCTTAACATGTTCAAGAACAACAAAAACCTACAACATAGAAGTTCTCCTTCACAATCACCAACATAGCCACAATTTTTAGTGAATTCAACCAATGTACAACTCAAACAATTCATCAAGAGCTCCAATATAAGATCCTTTACCTCAATTCACCAAGAAAGAGGAAGAAGGAAGAAAATGGAGTCTTCCAACCAACTCCACTTGGTTACCACAACCACTTTGATTCTCGGCTCTGAAGCTTTGAATCACCAACCAGCCACAAAATCCACTCTCAAGGGAAGGATGGAAGAAAATCTATGTATTCCAAAGAGAAGACGGTTCTCTTTCTAACTTTAAAAAAAAATTTATGAAGTTCACTTCTTAAGAAAAGATCTTATATATCCTCCCCTAATTGGTCAACTTGACCTTAGCATCAAACAACTCCTTAACAACAAAACTCATTAGGATTTTTAAGTTCTTAGAGCTTCACAATAATTAAACAACTAAACACAACATCAAATTAATTAGTACAATAAAAAAACTATTAATAAAATGCATGGTGTTACAAATTAAAGAATAAATAAAAGAGTTTTAAAGTAGTTGGTTCAAATGGTTTAACATTTGACTCCTTAATTAAAAGATCAAGATTTTATTTTTATCTTGAGCATGAAGCCGCAATCCCATAATATTTAGTTAGAAGAGAGATGAGATAATGAGATTTTATTAAAAAAAATTGTTTGATTCAATTTTTTAGAGGGGAATGGAGGAAAGTAACTTCCCTCTAATATTGAAAGATTTGGAGAAGAGAAATTTTAAAACATTTTTTAATATAATATTTAAAATATTTATACTTATATCTTTAAATTTAAAATTATAAGGATACAATCCCTTAAAAAAAATATATATAAAGATGCAATGGTACATTGATTTTTAAAAATATCTTTACTCTTTTGAACCAAACAATTTTTGTAACTTCTCTATTCCCTTCTTTCCCTCCTTTGAACCACCAAAAAATCCTTTGTAGAGTTTTTTACAAAACTCACATTTGAAACCTTAAAATACCCCTTATATATAAATAAAAATAAAAAAAAAACATACAGTATGTAACTTTATTGCACTGAAAAAAAAATTATACTAAGGACTCCAGTCTTTTTTGTAGATTATTTAGGAAAAATGATTAAAATTTGTTCTATTTTTTTAATAAGGAAAGAATCCTATTTTTAGAAATCAAAATAAACAAATTTGATTGATTCCAAAATCTGTAATTTGAAATAAATAAAGAGGTTTGCTTTGACCATTGAGAATAGATAATTTGTTTTCTTTATTTTTGTTTCTATATAATAATTTCCTAATTTCTAAGTTAAAAGACTAAATTTACTTTCATTCATACAAATGACTTATTGGTAAATATTTAATCTTATTTAAAAAATTATAATATACTATTTTTATTTGTTTGTTTCTTCCTAATATTTAGGTCCTCATATAAATTCTTTGAGCATTCAGAAAAACAAAATTATGCTTCTAAAATTTGAATTTTGTTGTGCATTTGTTCGACAAGAGAGAGAATATAATCAAACTTCTTAAAGTTTCTGACTTTATGCTGCTTTGTAGTCACCATCCAATTGAAGAGATTACCAAAGCTTCCCAAGCTCAATTTATGTTTGAATGAAAAGCGAGTTCCAAAAGATTTTATTTTATTTGCATGTTTTCTGTGTTACTGAGCTTTGATTATCATTGGAATGGACTTTTTGTATGACAGATGACAGATCTGCATAGTGTGGTGCATTCAATCATATTTAACTTGTGGTTACTTCTATTTTATTGGTTATTACATGCCCTCTTTTTGGTGCGTGTTTGAAAATAGAGTGAAGAATATCGACAAAAGCCAAAAATATTCCTGGTTCCTCCCTTTCTAGAAAATTGATTTGAAATTCATGTAAAGATAAAATATTCTCTTCGGAGGGAGAAGAAATAAAGTATTGGATCATAGAGATAACGAGACACGTTAATCTGACACGTTTACTAATAATGATGCAAACATTAAGATTCTCGTAACTTTCCAAATAACTGATTAGTACATGAATGCCGTTCACTGCCTCAAATTTTTAAGATTAAAACCACACAAGTTATTCAAATCTTCAATCAATGTTCTATAAGAAAACAAAACTATTACTAAACTCCAATTTTGATTTTAAAAAGAGAACACATCATTTTGAATCTTCTTCATTAAAAAGTAGTCTATAATTTTATTTTCAAGTTCACTAGTAATTTTTAAAATATTACATTTTTTTTTCATAAAAAGCGGTGGAACAAGACACTCTCAATTCTATTATCTATATACTGGGACCCTACAGAAAGGATGGTATGTTTACTAAAGTATCCCCTAACTCACAAACATTATCCCAATCCCAATCCCAATCCCAAGAAGCACACACAAAAGTATCTTCCTGAAACTGAACAAACCAGATAACTTCCCCCATGAGGTGCCTCCAGCTTCAATCTTCACTGCTACCCTTTCCTGCAAAACTCAAACTGAGGCACACTACCAAACTATTTCAGATTTCTACCCACAAACCTCAACGTGCCCAGCACTTCCCTTCAGTGAGTCCCCTAAGTACTAAGGCACTTCCACACTTAATGGTTGTTGCCCCAGCAAAATCCGGTGACTTATCCACCTTGCTCCCAATAAGGTCTATTATCTTTCTTTCCCTCATAATTCATATACAATATTAAATATCTCATACAGGCTAATGATATAGTTTCAGTGTGGTATATATAAATGTAAAATAATTCTCATTTGAAGTTAGTTTTTAAGACTTGTTAAAGTTCAAATTCATATTCTAAAATTATATTAGTGGATGTGATATGACTTTAATAGTATACGTAAGTTGAGAACAATTTTCACTTCATAAGAAGATTTTGTAAAATTAAATTATGTCACAACACAACCATTGTAGTTTATAAGTTTACTGCAATGTTTCAAGTCTTGAAGCCAGTTAACTCAAATCTTGTTTGTACGCATTGCAGTGCTGTGCTTGTATCGGCATACTTGATAGCAAATTTTGTGGTGCCGGGTTTCCTTACCAATTCTTTTGGATATGATAAGTCAAACGAAGAGCAAAAGGATGATGATGTAAATGCAATGGAAGATAGTTAGACAGACACTACTGCATGACATGGTTGTATGAATTTGTCTCTTGCTTGTATCTTCTAGACTTTGTAGCGATTACAGTTTTATGAAATCAAATTGTTCCTGCTTGCTCTTGCTTCGGTGAGATTATTACCCCAACACAAAATCATATCTTAATAGACTAAGTATATAGTCTATTCAATAAATATTAATCTATTGGGATAGATATTGTAAATCTAAGTCGACGGTATAATATATTGTTGATGTTTAATAATATACAGAAATTCTCTGTAGTAAGGGCATTTATCATCAGCAATTATATGTTTATCTATTAGTATCGAAAACTATACAAACAAGGCATCATATATCTTTATTCGTATTAAGATAGAGCATTATACATATTAATAGGAGAAAGAAGACACTTCATTACGTAAAACATTTTTTAATTGAAAAAGAGTGGATAGTTACATTTTTATTTGTTTTAACTTTTTATGAACACAATTTTTTTTTTCTTTCTATTTTATCCTTTAACCAATAATTTATGGAAGGGAATTGTAAGATAATTGGAGGATAAAAAACGTATGAAAAAATGTAGGAAACAAGAAGAAAAACTCCTTTATTTATTTTCATAGATATACAAGTGCATCATCCCATTAACATTCGAAATTATATTATTTAACATTTTTTTATAAAAACAATTTTGTTCTCTTTATATCTTTCTTTACGCTATTAACCATTTTATTTCACACTCTCCTATCTTCTATATATTTTTTTCAACATTATTCATATACAAATACAATCTCTCTAACATAAAATCACAATGTTTATATTAACTAATCGATGAGGACTATTACAAGGATTCTCTCTGGTCCTTTTATGAGTCAAACTAGGGATGTTGCTTAATCATCATGAAACTAATATAAAATGTCTTATGCATTAATTTTTTTTTTTTTTTACAAAAATACCTTTAGTTACTAATCTTTTCTCTAAACTCAATAAATAATAGGTAAAATTTATTAATGTCTTGTTGAACAGTTCTTGCATTTGTAAAATTGTGTTTTGTGCTTGATACGATTCCATGGTGGTTACTGGTTGTTATGACACTCAGAGAAACAATTGAGGAAGGGTACTTTTAGTGTTTTGTTTTTTTTCCGTTGCATTGGTAACGGTCTAAAGAATTGGATTTACATGGGAGGGGGATATGGCAAATCTTATCAGTTAAAGATATTTCAGTAATTTTAGGATTTTGGGATCTGTCTAACTTTGTCCCATACATGGAGCATTTTTACAACTTTGTTGTCTCTTCATACACAACCATCGAATACAAGAATAATCTCTCTCGAAGTTTTAACAAACATATGAACATTTTCTACTATAACTAAAGATTTTTTCCTTTCAACCCAAGTTGACAATAAAAGAATTAAAGATAATAAAAACATGCCATTAATATTAAGAATAATTTTGAAAAGCACATGTACATTTAGAATAAATTTTATATTATTAATTAAATTAACTAATTTTCCTATAATTAACAAGACAAATTAGCTTAATATTTAATATCTATTTAGATATGATTTATTATTATTATTATTATTATTATATATTTATCAAGAACTTCACAATCATTCAACTTTAATCATTACGAGGAGTTGTTAGACATAATGAATAACCTTAAAGATAAGGTTGATCAACAATTAATTTTGGGCCGAGTTAACCCAAATTGATATAATTCATTATTTGTATTACTTAGACTTAAACCTGACCAGTAACTTATCGGTTTCGATAAGTTTTGATTTGAATCAGTCTTGATTTTATCAAATAATCTTTTACGGATAGAGATATATTAGATTTTAAATTATTTAATTGATCCAAATAAAATTTTATCCGATTTATTATCTCTTTCTTTTCAATTTTGTATTTTTTTATACATTCAACTATTATTTAATTTATTTAGAGTCAAAATGAATAAAATTATTTAAATTTCAAATAATTTAAATATTATAATAAAGTTTTTTTTAGGTACATGATAAAAAAGAATTACAAATTACACCTCAATTAGAGATTTTTTGTACATTAATAATAAAGATTAAAAATGAGTTAAAATAAGATTAATTTTTGGACATAAATAATAATTACGGTGAACTTTACTTTATTTAGACAATTAAGTTCGAATTACCGATAGATCTAAATATTCAAACGGTCCGAAATTAATTATTTTAAATCACATTTTTAACTCGTTTAAACCGGTAACCCGTTTACCTTTTTCCTTTTTCTATTTTGATTTTGGATCAGGGGTTTCAGGTTGGTGCTCACCCCTACTCAAAGATATTAAAAGAGAGAGAAAAAACAAATAAAATGATGTTTTCTAAAGGCCCAAAAGCTATATCTTCAATTCACTCTAATTAAAAAAAATGAGGTATTAATTAAAATTTATACAGATTTCCACAATGAGTATTCGGAAAAAGAATAAGGAAAATTTACAATTATCTGCAGTGGGAGGGGAACCCAAAAAAACATTGATTATCCTGATTCCTCAATAAACACGGTGAAGATGAAATTTGTCTAAACAACTGTCCAACCAGTTTCGTGAGAAGTTTTATTAGAAGGGGATGGGGTTCCAGACTTGGGAAGCTTCTTTGAGAACAAAGATGATTTGCTGTCAAAGAAACTTGAAAAAGAATGCCGACCTTGTTTTTCTTCATCGTTTATCTGATCTTTTGTGACAGACTTTCTCAATAGTTTATCTTTGCCGCCAAAGATAAGGCTAAGTCTCTTAAACGGGCTCTTTGGTTCATCAGTAATCGTAGTTGATTCTTCTGTCTGCTTAATCATCTTTAGTGCTTCTTCAGGATACAATAACATTTTCTCCACTGTTTCATATACCTATGCAGGAACGTGAAATTATATTATTAAAAAATAATTGCAGATAAAAATCAACTACCAACAGTATAATCATGATTTACATTTCCAGTCAAATCATTTTTCGTCCCCATTGGCTTACAGGTAAGGTTATCTTGCACAACGAGCGTGTATGCTCAAGAAAGCAAACTAAAATGTTCTAGAAGGTAGGCTTGGTAAAAGTTACGAGTTTCACGCATTGTGATAGTCCTGAAGTGCTCCTTTTTCTTTAAGACCTTTATAAATTTATTTATATAGCGAATGGCTCTTCAATTACGTGGGCAAAGCAAGAACTTTTTCCACTGGGATACATGTCATATTGACCATTTATTTCAATTAAGTAATAATCAATAATATAGCCTAAAGAATACCTACCTGGACAAGATCATCAACTTTCTCATTCAACTTGTCGTTGCATTGACAACCGATAATTATGTACTCCTTGCAGTCATAGAATAACTTCGAGAAGTCACTGTTACTAGACAGCGTAGGTTCGGCAATTGCAAATCCTAAACCCAGCTATATAATTAAAACCAGAGGTTATGTTAGAAAGGTATAGAAGCAAACATTAAAAAAAAAATGTATAGAAATGGTATAAGCACCAATAAATATCAATCAAATCGAGTCAACTTGTTCAAAGAAGAAATAAAATGCTGAAATTCTATCAAGAAACTTTACAAAATTACATGATTATGCATTAGGATAATCGTCAATTAAGCAATATTTTAAAACAATATACATTATATATTTTATGTAATTTAAAAAATATGAAATAATTAAAAGAGCAAATGCATTAATCTTCATAAAACTTTAACAGCCAATGCTATTCAAGTCTGTATGGCAAGGAGTTTTAATTTTGATTTAGAAACGATGTCTTATTAAACGTTTGTTTTACATTTTTTTAATTAAGAAAAAAGGACAACTATGTTTAATATTGTCTTTAATAGACAGTAAAATTCCGGTGAAGGCTATCAATTTTCTTTGAATGACATAGGCTATTAGTCCTCCTATGAAGCAGAAAGAACATCCCCCTCACAACCACAACAAAAGCTTTATGCCCCCTTACTTAAACAGCACAATATTTAAAGTAATACTATATTTCATCTCTTTTAAATTTATATGGGAAGATGATGAGTATGTTTGTACAGTTTCCTTGTTTTCCTTTTCCCTTTCTCAAAACTAAAAATTTTGATCTAGTACACCCCCGTATCCAAACCACGCATCAGAGATTTGACTACTCCGGTTTGAGCCAGTTCAAAACACAAATTTGAAGAATGTATACTAACAAATGTTTTACAAGAGGCTGGAGCCAGGTCAAAACACAAGAATTGAAATATTTTTATAACAACAATTTTTTTTAAGTATTAAAAATATTTTTTAAAATAATTAATATCGATACAGATTATGGATAATGATGGGCATTTTTATCGAATGAAATGAGCATTATTAGACCAAAAAAAATCTAAAACTGCATAATATGCCTCTTAAGAAATTTTCCAATAGCATTAAGAACACAATTTATCCAAAATATCTGCCCCGACTTTGCAAATGTTTGCAAGCCTAAGGTCACCAAAAACTAAAGCAACAAAGCCACTCTTCCACAAGGTCAATTTTCAAGATTCTTCGCAGATTGTTTTGATAATAGAGTACTGCATATACGCAGTCTTACATCTGTAGGAACTTTTAATTCCTCATCAATCAGAGGACAGTAATGTTTCCACCTATCTGGTAACATATTAGTGAGTGCCTAAGAAATCACTTTAAGAAGCAGGCTCTAACATACATGCAGATAAGGTTATTGTCTACTTATGGCATACCAGTGTCATCATTCTACTTAGTTCTTGATAGGTACCTTCATGACTCAAGTCTATCGCTATATATTCAACAATCTGCTTTAGATTCATTCACCAGACTCCAAGAAATAAGAAAACACAAGTTTCAAATAAAAAAATTAATGCGCACCATATATAAGTACCAATATTAATATACTTCACGGATCCATTATGTAATGACAAATGAGAACAGTTTATACACAACAAAATTAATTAATGTGATAAAAGATAACATAAAGAACTTACTAAAGACATAAACAGCTGTCCAAAAAGATCAGAAGGATGGATGTCCTCAAATGCACTGAGGATGCCCTCCCTATAAACAAATGTAACATGGGATACAAGAGATGTCTTTAGGGTGGAAACACATAAATTAATGCAAAAAATCCTCATCATCAACTTACACTGCCAAATCCTCATCAAATAGAGGTGCCTGCTTAACAGCAGGTACTGGTTTAGATGTTTCCCAGAGTTCACGCCACAAATTACCTATCATTAACATGTAATGAAATTCAGAAAAGTAAAACAATATGAAATCAGAAAAAAAAAAAAAAAACAAGTGCTTAACAATTCTGATGTTTTATGCAGATTGTGTTGCAATAAAAGCAAGACTAAAATTCACCAAAAAAAGAAAGCAAGACTGTAAGACAGTACTCAAGATTCACTTATCAGCATATGTTTTACCATAGATATGATGTGATATCCAGTTTAGGCAATATATATCTTTCTTTTTTTTTGCTTACATAAAGTTTATGCAATAAGCAATATATATCTTGTATAAATGATATAAAGATTGAGGAATAGGTCTCAAACACTTTCAATTCCATAGTTTGCCCAAGGCATTTGGGAATATGAAATCTGGAATATCCATGCTGATATCAATTCACTGACAATGAAATTATTAATTCAACATTCAAAATTGTTCAAACTCTACATTCAGACATTCAGGAACCAAAACTGATCGGTTTACAGCAAAAGTTCTTACATCAGCCTGCAATAAACAATTCCTATCATATCTAGTGTAGATTTCATGCATACCTTTCTCACAACTCACCAAAGCACGACCTCTTTAGAAATCAAAGCCATAAAAAACACATAAATGATGGTAAAATTTATAAGCATATAGCAAAAGTTTACTCACAATTAGTCACAAGATACAGTGAACAAAATATTTTGTTTCAAGGAAAGTAAATCCACCTTTTTATCAGAAGTTGATGGTCCTTGACATAAAAATAAATAAATAAACATAATTGTGTTACAGCAGACTTTAAGCATCAATCTACAATGGAAAAGATTGAAAGTACACCTTCTTTTTGCATTCGCCGACTTAGTTGACCTCTGGCAGACAACGACTCACCATTATCAAAAACATCACTATCCTCAACACATGCCTCATTATCTGTCCAATCAGGAGGAGAGTGCCATCTTACAAAATCCTCCAAAATACATCCAGGATTTGCAGCCTAAAATATGATAACAAACACAACTAACTCAGACAGAACATTAGACACAATCAAAATAGTAAGAAACATTTAGAAGTGACAAAAAGTCCCCTTCAAGGGTGAGCCTGACCTTGAAAGCCTGCATATCTGAGAGCAGTTGAGAGCACCCAGCGCCAACACTGACCAAAACAGGTAACATAGGAATCAAGAAATGCCTACTGATTTTAACTATAAGCTATTAAATAATTGATGCACATCTGCAAGTAAATAAAGCTAGCATTTACATACTAGTTACAAGAGAAAAGAATATATGATCATCAATGTTGTAAATAGGAGTGTCTTAGGAGATTTGATATTATTTTATAATCTTTTCTTATTTCCTTTATTTTTGTTTATTTTCATAGTTACTTGTTTTAGGGACAGATGTATCTCTTTAATAGGGTAAGAGAAGAATATAATTAGTGTGAAACAAATTAATAGAATCCTCTTTTTCCGCTGTCCTAAAATCAGAAAAATCTGAGTTGTTGCCACCCTCTCCACAGCTGCTGGTAAAGTTAGCATTGAGCCAAAAAGGAGGGTCCATTGTCAGCAATCGCAACACAATGAGTCGCATAGTTGGAAACTTCCCCACGCACCGCCACAGTTCGCCTTGTTTTCGGGTGCATGTAGGACACATGTCCATCTCTAACGAGACCCAGTTGCCAACAACCATCCAAATAGGTTTGTTGACGACCCCCTAGCCCATTCCAAGGGGTGATGTCGTCTAGATCCTTCCTATTTAATGTATATCTGAGTTCTTTGTCCCTCTACATGTTTTACCCCCAATGCAAAGGATATGTGAGATGATCTATGTGAATCATTCTCCTTAAAGAAGGATTTTGCTACCTTATATGACATTCAAAGCAAAATTTTTAATACAAAACAAGGAACTATATTTGTCTTGAAGTACCATGGGATCCTTAATGGAATGTGGAATAAGTTGGACCAGCATCAAAGCTTGAAGATGTGTTTGGCATAAAATATCAAAGGAAGAGAAAGTCCACCTTGGTTCCACAGCAAGAGGAATCATTTGACCCATAGGTGGCTGATCCTGATGGTAATTTGGAGGAAGTGTTAATGATGATATTTTTATTGCTTTGAGGAAAGGAAAAATATCTTGTGTTAAATATCGTATTTCACAATATGTTTGTACTGACCATTTGTCTACCTAGTATCAAAGTTTCATGTTGCCATTGATTCAATAAATATCCCAACTTTAGTCCATGAGGCTATGAGAGAAGAGTATTGGATTCTAGCCATGAAAGAAGAAATGAAGGCATTGGAAAAGAACTAAACATGGGAGGTTGTAGACAAGCTCAAAGACAAGAAAGTTGTAGGGTGCATATGGATGTTCATAGTGAAGCACAGAGTTGATGGGGAAGTAAGCAAGATTGGTAGCAAAGAGGTACACCCAGACTTATGAGATAAACTATGAGGAGACATTTGAACCAGTGGCAAAGATGAATACACTACAAGTTAATCTTACAAGTTATATTTTCCCTAACAGCTCATTTTGGCTAAGACTTGCAACAATTTGATGAAAAAAAAATCATCTTCCTGCATGGAGATTTAGAAGAAGTTTACATGGAAATTCTCCAGGATTTGGAGCTTTAGATGAAGAAAACAAAGTATGTAGGTTAAAAAAGGCATTGTATAGACTCATGCAGTCTCCACAAGCATGGTTAGGGAGATTTCCTTGAGATACAAACAGAGTCAAGGCGATCATACTTTGTTCATAAAACACCCCCTAATGGCAATCTCACAATTTTTTTAATCTATGTAGACAACATGATCATTGCAGGTGATGATGAAGAAGAAAAATTGACCCTAAAGAAGAAGCTAGAAACACAAGTTGAGATGATAGACTTAGGGAAGTTGAAGTATTCCTTGGGAATTGAAGCTATTCATTCCAAGAAGGGCATATTTATCTCTCAAAGAAAATATGTCCTTGATCTTCTTAATGAAATAGGAAAGTTGGGATGTAGGACCTCAGGAGTTCCAATTAAACAGAATCACAAATTTGGAAGTGAAGAAAGTTCGTCAGTGGAAAAGTATCAATATCAAAAATTGGTAAAAAAAACTAATTTATCTACCACACATTATACCAAACATTGCCTGTGTTGTAAGCAAGATTGTCAATCTCGAGAGTTTACATAATTTTGTTGAGATCCCATAAACTCAAATCATAAACTTGTAACAATTTACTTAATATAAAAAAATTTGTCATAATACTTATAAATAACATAATAACTCAACATTTCAACTCCATATTAAATTAAAATAACAAATTAAAATATTAAAGTAGCAATGTTTAGTAGCAAATCATGCAAAATTTCACATAAGAGACAAGACACAAGTTATTAAAATAACAAATAAAAAATTAAGAAAAGACTAATTTTTGCTTTTAGCAACAAGGGGGCAAGATTGCCCTAGACTACTCGAGATTGGGCGAAATTGCTCGAGATTGCTCAAAAAAGAGTTTTCTTTCGAGTTGTATAAGTAGGACTAACCAATCTCGTAAACTTGGTAGTTATTACAAGTTGTCACTCAAGATTGACAACCATGGTTGTGAGTGTAGTTAGTCAATTCATGCATGACTCCTGGGAAAGGCATATGCAGGATCATTTAGTACTTAAAGAGGGAAAGGAAAGGATTACTATTCAGAAAAGGAGACACCATGTAAATGGAGATTTATACTAATGCAAGTTATACAGGGTCATTCATAGATAGGAGATCTACTTCTAGATACTACATGTTCCTGGGAAAGTCAACCATCATCATTGCTTAAAATCCAGTTTAACATGGCAAGACCAAGCATATTAAGATAGATAGACACTTCATCAAAGAGAAGTTGTACAATGGTCTTATTGTTACAACTCACATCCCTACAAGACTCCAAGTGATAGATGTACTTACAAAGGGACTTCTTACTAGTAGATTTTAAGAGCTGATAGGCAAGTTGAGAATGAATGGTTAATGGTATTCATTTACCAACTTGAGGGGAAGTGGGGGAAGTGTTGTAAATAGGAGTATCTTAAGAAATTTGATATTATTTTATAATCTTTCCATGTTTCCTTTAATTTTGATTATTTTCATAGTTACATGTTTTAGGGACAAATGTATCTATGTAACTGAGTAAGAGAAAAATGTAATTAGTGTGAAACAAATTAATAGAATCCTCTCTTTCAACTATCAGGGTAATACAAAATAGCAATATGTTAATGTTTTGTTGACCAACTAGTCCACCAATTCAAATTATAGAAATTATTTAAGAAAACATAGCAAAGACACAAGTCATAGGTTCAGACCTCATATTTGCATACCCTGGTCCTGGGAGTATATAGTCATAGATGTGTGTTAATTGGTCATAATCAAAGGTTTAGATCATGTCAAACAATTCAAGAGGCATATAGAAACACATTTAACAAACACTAAAGAGCCCAAGTCTTCATTATATAAATGAGTTAGAGATCCAATGAGAGAGTGAGGGGTTTCTTCTGTTTGAATTGTATTAAATGCATGGATGGATCTTCATGTAACTAGATGAGAGAGGCCCTAGATTCACCTCTAGATATTTTAGAGTTTACATAAGATCTTGGGAACCAAGCTTGATTATCTAATCATAAATAAAGATCATGATACAAAACAGTGAATTGGGATTCATACACTATATATATATAAGGAAAAAGTAAAATGTATTTAGGTTTAAGATAACAGACTATATATATATAAGGAAAAAGGAAAGTGTATTTAGGTTTAATATAACAGACTGGGTCAAAGATGAAACTCAGTTAGCATACAGAGTACAGACCTCCCTGTCCGCAGGACAAACTCCTCTGTTTCCCTGATTAGATCTTCTGTAAGCAAAGGTCCTTCCTACATGAAATGGTCCCAAAGATCTAAAGTATAAGAGTAAGTTTAAATAGCAATTATTATATAGCAAAAGTAAATATTTATCAAACCTGGGTGACTGGAGAATACACAGGCTCGCCAGTTTCCAACAATGTCATATCTCCAGCTAGGCGATCTGCACCAAGTCGAAGAACAAGCTCCCCACTATTTAATCTAGCATATAGAACAGCGCTTGCAGGAGCTCCAGCGTTAGAATCAGTTGATTCTTTTATGGCTGAATTAGCTTGCATCAACATAGAGTCTAGAGATTCAGTGGCAATATTACGGAGCCTTTTCCGAGAGATGCAGCAATTAATTACTTGTAATTGTTGATACAGAAGACATGACTTCAGATCAGGAATCTCATTCTGGGGGACTCCCGGTAAATATTGTTCCTCAGACCAACGTTTTCTAAGCTGTATCAGTAAAATAAATAAATAAGTTTAAAATACTCCTCTTCAGCTGGTGATCAAGGAAAAGTAAAATTACTGGTCCTAGTTAGTTTCAGTTACAAATCCTAAACCAGAAGAAGTTTATATATAATTTCTTTTTTTCCCTTTATGGACAAGCAGATTTGATGAAAAGAAAAAATCAAGGGAAACAACTTTACAATACAAATAGGATTGAGTTGTTTTGAAAGCCCTCTCCACAAATTTTATTTACTAGCACAGGGGAAGGGAAGGATAATTGGATGCAAACATTATTAGACCAGAAAAAAAAAATAAAAAATAAAAAATAAAAACATAAAACAAGGAAAAAATTCACTACCCAATTCCTTAAACAAATGAAGTTCTATAACTTCTAAATAACTATTAAAAATCAAAACAAGCAGGAAACAAAAAAAAAATGACATATCTCAATATGACATCAAGTAATCTTGCATATTTATTTCCTGTCCAAATCACATGATCTAAGATAAAAATATTAATCTAGTAATGATGATGCACTATATTTCTAAGACCAAAGCCCTTAAACTGACAGTTTCTTAATATAATAATTTATATATAGTGGAAAACATGATCAAAAATATAAATTAAATCTAGAGTTCTGGGAAAGTAATAAGGTGTATGATATCAGAACTTCAAGTTCTTTTCAAGTTAAACATACTTCAGCAACAACCCTGCACCAGAAAATAGCCATTTTTTGGACAGACTTGTAGTTTCCAAGGATTTCAGCTAGCTTAACAACAAGGCTTTCAGGAGGAGCACCATGAATATCTCTCGGAAAAGATGTCATGGCTGTTTTGTCAAGCTTAGAGTTGATATTTCTGCTCAGGAAATCTCCCTCTGCGAACATCTTGCAAATATTACAATGAAAGTGAAAGATCATCGCAGGATAATGGGTTAAAGTAATGAGGACAAGCACAATCCTTTTAACATAATTACATCATCAGCAAGACACCTAAGATTTACATACCTGAATCAAACAGAGAATTAATTAAATGCAAAACTTTCTCATTGTCAGCGAACTCAGAGGTAATTTTGTCCTCCTTTTCACGTATTACTAAAGCCTTAACTGCAGAGAGACTTAAGCCAGCCCTCTCTTTAGCAGGTGAAGAACCTCCTGATGAAGCTATAAATTCTTTCATTGATTTCGCTCTACTTCCAGCCCTAGTCAATAGGTAAAAAAAAATTAAGAGATTAGATATATGCTGAAGCATAAATCTTTCTGAATGATAGAACAAGACTCATGTTGTTGAACTATAAAAACTTGCATTCAACAAATGTGTCAAATATAGAAAGGGAAGTTCACAACCAGAGAAATCAAATGCAACAACATTAAATATAACCTTTGAGTAGTTCACGGAAAGTGGCAGGAAAACAAGGCAACAAAAAGGAAAAATGTTTGCAAACAATCACAACTTACTCAAAAGCTATAGCCAATTGCTTCAGCACTGATGATGAAGGAATGGGATCTTTTGTCGCAGCAGTTAGGCCTTCAACTGAGGGAATTGTTTCTGAAGCCTGAATCAAGGTTTTTTAATAATACATCATTAAAGCAACCCATATGTGTAATTGAATTGGCAATTCAATTAGATACTCATTTATATAATGGAATATGAAAATCAATTAGAAAAACTCAATTGTATCTTTTATTAATTTCCTGGAAAGAGGGACCCCATTAGATTCTTAATGAGCTCACATTACCAATTCATCACAAGTATATACCATGGATTCGTAACTAACAACTTACCAGTCAAAGCTGGTGACACAATCTAACACAGACTATTTTGAAACAAAACGCTCCTAGTCGGCATACATTATCAAATTTTGCTAACATCCTCCTGACATAACTTCCTGTTTATATACTTCAATCATCCACACAAAGTTGGAAGATGAATATTTGAGCTAAAATGTTACAGATTTTCTTACCTTGGCCTCAATATCATTCTTCACATTCAATATGTACAAATTTTCATCATAAAATGGAACCGCCATGTTCGGATCCCCAACTTTATCTGTATCTTCAACTTCTTTTCTCCCTCTCCGAATGTTCTTTATTCTATCTTGCCAATCTGGCTTTATTCCTATATGTGGAGGCCTCCACTTTATATGCTTCAATTCACTGCGATGCTGCACCATCCCATTACAATGACCAATTTTGTAAGTAATCAACTACCATTCGTACAGGACAAATGTATCCTAGCAAGCACCTAGACATAAACACAATCAAGTTTATAAAGAGAGATTTCAAACATCTTTAAGCCAAGATAAGACACGTTTGGGATTACAACTTTCCACTTTTGCAAAGCTCCTGCAAATATTCTAACAATTAATTCTGGGCAAAACAGGGAAGCCATCCTCATGCTTAGTTGGATTCTAAACAAGGGAATGAATTAATTAAAAAACATAGTTCATCAGCTTCACCAAACAATGAATTTCAAGTTTCAACACCCTGATCTAAATATCCCTTCCCTTATTAACGTCAAATTATAACCTAACGAAACAAACAAATATACTTCCATTCGATAACCAAATGCAGTTTCCGGAAATGCATTATTGGCACCACACACCAATCCAACAAATTGGGGGAAAAAAACAAAACAAAATAAACAAAACAAAAACCAATTTGATAGGATTAAAAAATCGAAATACTTAATTAAAATTAAAACCAGACTGATGGATCGTCAGAAATTACCTTGGACTCGTTTTCGTTGTTGTGAGATTCAGCCTCCGGTGATTGCCGTGCGAAGCTATTAGGCGATTGCTTGTCGTGATCTTGTTCAAGGTCAACAAATTGAGTCAATGCTTATTCCGAAAACAATTATTATTCTTATTTTTTTAATTTTTATTTTTTAAAACCTCCCAAAAAGGAAGGGAGTGAAGAGGAAAAACAATAATGCGCATCCGCGAACAATTTAAACGAAAAAAGAAATTAAAAATAGCAGAAAAAGAGGTTGCGATGTGGCGCGAGGAGAACCTCGATCGGATTTGAAATCCAAGAGAACGCGCTCCGCTTTCGCCGCCGCGGAATGGAAGGCGGTCCTCGCTTTCGACACAAAAGTCAGCTCCTCCATTCGCTATGAACGTGCACACGCACACGTGTGCGTTCTTCCTACGAAGATTGATGAGGTGAGGATTCGAGCGTGAACAAGAGTTAGCTATGAGTCATGGCTTTAGTATTTGTAGCAGTCATGGAAGAAGAAGAATAACAACAACAACAACTTGATGCTTATGCTGTGTCTGTGATGCTTCTTCTTCTTCTTCTACGGTAGTAGTGGAAGCTCACAAATTCAGTGGTGCGCACTAAAATATTCGAAATCGAGATTTTTATTTTCTGTTTTTGTTAATAGATTAAAATATTAAATTTGGTTCGTTCCTTTATATGTGTAAGAGGAAATTGATAAATGCGTTAAATCACAGTGGCCTGGCCGGCCTTGAATATTTTTCTGGATATTCATGCCGGGACCGTCCAAACTTTTCATACCATAAAATCGTATAATTCGAGAAGAAAAAAAAAACAATATGAACAATCGCAATTGATTTGATTTGAAAACCATTTTTTTAACTTAATGTAACAAATCAAATTAAAGTAATTGTTGATGTTATATTATGTGCAAGTTAATTGATTTATAATCAAAACCATTTTTTATAACTTAATGTAAAAATCAAATTAAAGTAATTGTTGTTGTTATATTATGTGCACGTTAATTGGTTTATAATAAATGTCTTTTAATTTGTATATTAAAATTAATCTTGAATATATTTTTAGTCTATTAAATTTATCATAAATTTATTTTTATTTTTTAAATTTAAAATTATTATTTTTAGTCTTTATAATTTTTAAAAATATTATTTTAGTTCTTCAATTCATCAATAATATTTAAAATTGAAAATTTTAGATAATAATGTATCATCAATTATGTTTATGTGATATTTTAATTAACAGAGACATTTTTATGCTATAGGATTTGATAGATTTTTGAACAAAATTTAAATATAAGAATTAAAATAATATTTTTTGAAATTATTGAAACTAAACACTAATTTTAAATTTAAGGGATTAAAAATAAATTTATTTTAAATTTAAAAAATTAAAAACATATTTAAACCTTTAAATTATAAAAATATTATAATGACCCGTTGTATTATGAATTACTAGTAGCGGAAAAATACAAATACAATTACTTAGGATTAACATATGTATAACACCTAGATATACAAGCCATAATATATACATATGTAAATGTTTCATAACATCTAGAATAATGCAATAAGTATAGAAGTACATAAATATGTATAGTAATCCAACATTAAAATAGTAATCTTAAATTGTTGATCAAACAACATTACTAAACAAGTTACACTAAGATTTCTTAAAAAGGTTAACATTGTCATCAACAATATCACCTCACAACATCTCCACCTCCAGTCTATCATTGTTTTGCCTCACAAAATCACAATTCAACCACAATAAAACATATAAACTTAAGCTAGTAATTCAAAATAATCAACAAGTATAGCAATATCATATAACTATACTACAACATCAACATATGAACCACTCAACTAGACATATCATTATTCTCAACTTTTTCCAACACAACAACACGAGATTCAACAACCATTTTAAGGCAAACAACTTAACAATACAACAACTTCAACTTGCATCACAATAATGCAACACATCAATAGTTTTACAAAGCATATGAACAACACAACCAAATCCACACAACATAACAATTTTATGTGTCATCACGCATTCAACCAAGAAATCTCTTACAACACATGTGAACAATTTAACTGGTTTGACCTTATCGAATCAATAACATGATCTTTTCAATACAGATAGATCAACAACTAATTTGGATAAAAATTTACAACAACAATTTCTCAAATTTTACCTTTTAAACTAAGAAGGTTTAGTATTCTTGCCAGAGTATGACAACTTGGGTGTGGACTCACCACAACGTTATCATACATAATTAAGTATTTTGTAGGATTAGTCTACCAAATATCCTCTAAATACTATATCCCTTCCAGTACTTAGTTAAGAATTTTGACCTCTTACCTTGTACCTTACTTTAAATTCTCCACTTTATACACGTGTGACTTAACCTAGCCCCTATACAGATCAACATTAGTCCCTTTATAATCAATATAGTTCGACTTGAATCCTGTAGTATGATCACTTTATAGATGGTATGTCTCGACCTTGCTCACATAGTGCATCAACTAAGATCTTAGATGAGATTCAATTATCCACTTTAAGAGTTAACTACTCAACAAGGATTTTCAACAATTGGATTTGGTAAGCACCACAACAATATCCTCATAATGGGATATCGAACTTTTAAAACAAATTCTCTTTTAGTCATAAGTTAATAATAAAAAAAATCCAACACCATGCCTTAAACATTATCAACTCAACCACCACAATGTTTCAATATACAATTATCAATAATTTAATCATCAATATACATTATCCCATATCAACGTATAAATATCTAGCAATATACAATAACATACAACATATAATAGGTGCAACTAACCTATGTATGTTCAAAACTTAGGTAAGAAAATCACACATTTTCATTGAGCAACCATATTTGGTGTTATTCTCCTTACACTCGACGTCATTAAGGCAAAGAGCTTTGTAACTCGCCCACGCTTGACGTCACTCAACCTACGTCTGACAGGGATGAGGCAAATAGCCCATGTGGCAATCATGTCTAACATGTCTAAACCCATGCTCAATCCTAGTTCAAGCAGAGAGCATTTGCTTGACTTACATTCGACATCACTAAATTAGTGCTCAACATCTTCTAGGTAAAGAATTTCTATCTTAATCACGTTTGATGCCACTCAACTAGGCCCAACATCAGCAGGTCATAGAGCTATTAGGCTTTTTATGCTCAACATCATTTAACTCAAGTTTAATGTGGCCAAGTCAAAGAGATATCTTCTAACCTATGTCCAAAGTTACCAATCTCTCATTCGATATCAGTGAGACAGAGAGTCTCTAATCTATGTCACGTTTGGTGTCTTGAAATTGTTCCTAGTACAATCAATCTCACCCCCTTACCACTAGACCAACCTTGGTGATCAATTAATAATCAAGTTTGACTCATGTATATTTTATCTTAAATTTCGAAAATAATAATTTATGAAAGAAAAAAAAAGGAGTTATAATGATGGAAGAGCATGGGCTAAAGGCCCAACCACTAGAGCTATGGCCAGGAGGTTACTTGAAGATTTGACTGCTTCAGAGCTTAGTGGGCCCAATGGGCTTGTGGGCCTAGGGTGCTTCTTACTTGGGCTTAATTGATTATACACCATGTTTAATTGTACTTTCTTAGTTAGGAATCTATTTTCATGTTGGTCTTGTATTTTGACCATAGATTAGGGTTTAGGCTAGTTGGGCCTAGTTTTGGGTTTCATGGGCCTTTGGGCTTTTGGTACCCAATATTGGGCTCATTATTTTCCTTGTAATATTTCCTATTGATTGTATTCATTAGACCATTGTATTTTGGTCATTAGAATAGGATTATATGAAGAAAACATTAATAGGAGAATTAGGTTTCATTTAGACATCATTTAGAAGTAATTTGAGTTGAATTTGAGTCACATGGATTTCATGGGCCTTTGGGCTTTTGGTACCCAATATTGGGCTCATTATTTTCCTTGTAATATTTCCTATTGATTGTATTCATTAGACCATTGTATTTTGGTCATTAGAATAGGATTATATGAAGAAAACATTAATAGGAGAATTAGGTTTCATTTAGACATCATTTAGAAGTAATTTAAGTTGAATTTGAGTCACATGGATTGCATGGGATGGATCCGGCCATGTGAGCTCCAAATTCACCTCAAATCACTTCTAAATGACTCCTAAATGAGGGTAGCATCTGAATTAGTCACGTTGGAAGCCAAAGTTTGAATTTCAAATTCAAACTTGAAATTCAAACTAGGCGCCAATTTGGTTGATTTGAAATTGCCGCCCAAAGTTAACCTAATTGCTTCCTATAAGTGTATCTTTTCCCACCTTTTGTAAACACTTTTGAATATATGAGATATCTGAATTGAATTCAGCCATTCAAGAGTCACCGAAATTCCAAGAGAGAGAGCTTTAGAGAGTGCCTTCAAATTCCTTAGGAAAACCTAGTTTCCTTCCCTTTGAAGTGTGCAATCCCTTGTAGCTTGAGCTTGGATACTTCCTTCTAAGGATTAGGTCATCTAATCCGCCATTCCTCTTCCATTTTGAGCTTCCATTCATTCGGTCTACATCTCCTTTGAAGAAGATCCGTGCCTAGAAGAAGCTTGGAGGAGTTCACATCTTCATTTCTCCTACTTTTTCTATCATATAAGAAAAAGGCCAAGTAAGGTATGCATATATTTATTCAAGCGCGCACTTTTCTCTAAAGATGTGTTTAATAATATCTAGAATTAGTTTTATGGATTCTACTTTTTGAAGCAGTAACCATGCAACGCACATAGCTGTAAATAAAATATAATGGACAGAGTAAAAGCATATATTATCCTAATTGAATTGTAAAATACGTGTCACATTTAAAAAAAAAACTTAATTTAACATTTTTTCCCCTCACATGATTTTTTTTTATAATAAAATTGCATTTGAATTTTATATTTGTTATAGTTTCTATAATACATAAAACGTTGGTAAATTAAATTTTTTTTTACAACAAAATTAAAATTTTCATAATCGTTACTTTGTTCATTCCATAAAACAATGCAACTTAATTTATCCAGTGTATAAATAACTTATAAATTGAATATCACCTGTAAGTTTTAATTGTTCGTTTAATCATTTATAGTAAATAAAATTCAGCTTACTACATTTTATGCATATAAAGTGCAATGAGTGAAAAAAGATTTAATTAAATTAATTTTTAACATATAACAAAATTTTAAATAACGTAAAATTATATTAATATGCATTTTAAAATACATTAAGAGAGAGAGAGAGAGACCCGGATTCGATTCATCTTTGAGAATGAGTAATGAGTTTAAATGTGACAAGTGATGGATTAAGAAATAGTTTTATAGATGAATCAAAATAATGAAGCTTCTAGGGTGCCATCAGATAATCAAGGGGCTTGTTCTCGACCACGACACAAATATTTAGCTCAGGTAGTGTTTGTAAATTGAAATTAATCATGACAAAAGAAATCGACGAGTGTGAATTTTATTAACATAAAATAAAGATGTATGCCCAACATCGCTGAAAATGACGCACGCTACAACGAATCTGGCCAACATAAACACTACTCCACTAAAACAGGACGAACCACACATTCGGCTGAACGAACAAAAATTGAAAAGCCCAAATTGACACCCCTTCAAGACTTCCAGGATTTGGAAACATCGAAAATTTAATTCGATATCAGCTTGCACGTTTTTTTATAATACTACGCGCAAACCGTGTGGAAGAAATGATTTATTTAGTTGTTGCTGAACAGATTCTATTCTATATACGTTGTTTTTGGTTGATAATTCTGAATAGATTTTGTCACATTCTGAATTTACAAGCAATAGGGAATATATGATATGGAAGAAATTAACAGTGAATTTGTAGCAAAACAAAGTCAATAAGCTATTTGATTGTTTGGCGAAATGCAAGGACCGTTAACTTCAAAAGGGTGATTAACTTTAAAAATCATATACAAAAAGGGTTTTTTATAGTTTGATTATAATTAGAAAAATACATTTATTAGGAAAGATTATAACAATTGCAACTTTCTTTGAAAAGTCACTCAACAGATTCTATATATAACTACAACTTTTGAGAAGTTACTCAACAGTTTTTTTAATTTTTTTTAAAAACATTTTTTTTTCCAGATTCTAGGTTTCTCCCTAACTAAAACACTAATTTAAAAAATAAAAAACATGGGGTAAAAAATCCGAGAAAAGGGGCTCAATAAGTAGATCTATTCTGATTTATCCAAAAAAAAAAAATCTCAGGTAAGTTTAAATTTTCTAAACAGAACCCCCACATACATAGCACTGAACAATTTATAATGTAAACAGCTGCGCTAACTTAAAAATTACTTCCAAACAATCATTCGCAATAAGGAAAAATATAAATGTACTTTTACATAAAACACCTTTGCCTGTTGAACACAACAACTGGTCCAGTCAAAGCCTCTAAATGAGCAATCAGCACAGCTCAAGAAGCCCGTCATACCGAATATCAAAATTTCAGATTAACAGCTTCTCAATAGCATCCTGCACACCCACCAAATACTCAGAATGCAAGTTTATTCAATATAACACGATAATAAACATTACTTATGTGCCCAGTTAATAATTATAAGGCCATTGAATCGTTTAAGTGTCGGTCAATTTAGACAAAACTGATACCCAGTTTGGATTTTTGGTTAGTTTATTAATAAATAAATTATATAATATTTAAAATATATTTTATTATCGCCAGTTTTACTACAATTCAATAACAATCAAAACAATTAACACCACCAATTTAATGTCTGGCCCAGATTTTAAAATTAATAATGTGTAGCATAGTTGGCAAGTGCGTAAACATTAACAAAGTAAATCGCTGTGAAAACCTTTAGTTGCTGAATTTGGGATTTCAGTTGACTTCCTTCATTAGTTGTAACAGAACATGCAATCACCGGCCTTGTGACTCCACATGCTCGACCAAGTGCTTGTTTTGATGGGACGAATACATACGGAACATTCTAAAAGATTCAAATAATCACACAGGCAAAAGTTACTTTGCTGCTATATAGATAAAAATGCCAGAAACATCATATAATTGAAATGACAGCAGCTGGAGTAGTCAGAGCCAAAGAAAAAATATTTCATGTTGAAACTAATATTTAGAACTATCTAAATTGTATCAAAATTATGTCTGTGCTGATGTTAACCCAACTTACAAGGTGTTATCGAGCACACAATAACCTCAACCACAAATACGAAAAATTATATTCATTTTCTGGAGGAGATGACTTATCGCAGAGAAGTCTTTTAATTTAATAACGGTTTAAGGATCAGATCAGCAATTAGGCATCCCTTGGCAACAACGCCATTAGTTACTATATTCTTTTCTGTTTGAAATAAAATGAGACCAAAACTCGAGGTACAAAACAATACCAATAAATTAATAGACAAACTAGATAGGATAAGGAGGCATGAATAGAACTTGTAAAAAGCTATGATACAGGTTAATTTAAAGATACAAAATTTCCATCAGTGTATTCTTACCACAGTTAAGAGGGTAAGCATTACATGAATTTTACATGTACAGCCAGATAGCATATTACTTTATTGCAAAAGAAAAAATCTCAAATACATAAGTCCCAAGCATCTGAACCTGAAAATCACACAATATTACAACTGATAATTGACACACAGTAAATGACTTTGGTGTGTCTTCAGATCCATTTACTAACCACTAGCGCGTGACTAATTCATAAATTCCCATTTTCCTGAACCAGTCTGAAAGGACCCGTGAATATTCTAAAAATTTGACTCTATGGACTCTACGCTAAGAGCTTTACTCTGTATAAAAAAAGTTGGTAGAAGAATTCACACACAAGGAGGGAAAAGGGGGAGCTCAAGGAGCACAACAGTTTGATATCCAGATTTCTTTCATTTAAAAAGGGATGAGGCTTGGACTAGGGTACTTTGGAGACAAAGTGAAATCACCGTTAATGATTTAACGACAACCAAAATAATACAAACGATTACATCAAATGAAGAAAAGGAGATGGATCTCTGAGAAAAGCATTGCCCAATTTTGCATTTTGAACAGGTTGCCTTACTTAAATTTCTAAGGCAAAACCCTAATACTAGTGCATATAGAGCTCGGTGTTAAAATGTTTAGCTTAAATTTTATAAACAGTTAAAAATTGGAATACAAAACTAAGCAAAAGAAAGGAAAATAACATTTGTAGGGATATTAATTAATTACACAACCAAAAAAATACAAAGGATCACATCAAATGAAGAAAAGGAGGTAAATCATTAAGAAAATCATTGCTCAATTTTAAATTTGGAACCATTTGGCATGCTTAAATTTCTCAAGCAAACCCTCTTCAAGCACATTTAAATTTGATATTTTGATAAACAATAAAAAAATTGAAGTGCAAAGCAAAGAAAAAAGAAAGACAATTATCAAACGTAGGGATATTAATTAATTACCTTATCCTCAGCAAGCAGAGGAAGATGCAGAAGAATCTCAAGAGGCTCGGTGTCTGCGGCCATCACAACGAATTCAGATATGCCTCTGTTGAGTGTCTTGGTGGCTGAAACAAATAAAACATATTAACACCAATACAACTTAACAAGTTTCTTCTAAGATTCTTCTTCTAACTTGAAGAGGGAAAAAAATAGAGACAGAGACAGAGACACACCTTCATTGGCACCCTTTTTGAGTTGCTTGTAATTGGCAGCTTGTTGCACAAGATCCATGATTGTTATTGTAAGCTGCGCATCGGCCAAAGGGTAAGCTTTTGGGTTCACTGCCTCTCCTGTCTGCAAAAACAATTACATACAAAAATGAGAAATTTGAACATTCAAATGAAGAAAACGAAAGAAAAGAGGTTCTGAGAAGTGAAGCAGAACCATTTTAGAGTGTGCCGTTGATTGCAGAGAGAGAAGAGGCTGCCTAGGGTTTTGAGGGGAAACAGAGAGTGAAACGTAAGAGAGAACAAAAAGGTTAGGGTTTAAGTAATTCAGGTCAGATCCCGTTAAGTAAAATGGCCAGTAACAAAATTATTGGTTTACAGTAACATTTAAATTATAAAATTTAATACATTTAATTTTTCTTATATATTAATGTTATTTCTATTTCATTTAAATAATATATAATTTTAATTAATAATATAATTTAAAATATTCCACTATTTGGTTTTTTATTTTTATAGTAAAAAAAAATTAATTTGTTACAAACTAACTATATTAAAATATTAAGAATCAATAAAATAGTTTCGTATTGAATCATATTAATTAGAAATATGATCATAAATAATGATAAGAATGAGTTAGACTTTAAACATATAAGTTATATATGTAAAATTTAAATTTAAATTTTACATATTATAAATTTTATATTTTTTAAACGTGAAAGTTATTCTAATTTTTCACTGTTTTAAACAGTCAAATTATAAAATTAAATAAGTTTTTTTTATTATATATATGAACAAAAAGTATTTTTAACATATACTAACGTTTACTAATGAGAAAGCTTCTCAAAAATAAAGAAGTTGTAAAATTTTATTTTCTTTAACGATTCATTTTCTTGTATGAATACTTTCATGAATCTTAAAACGTTACTCATCATTGTTGTTGCAGAGCTTCTTCTATAGTTGAGCATAGTTGCTATGAAACACCCTCTATGATTACTACAGAACACCTTGTATAAGTAGTTGGTACAAAATACCAAAAGATGCTATGTAACATTCTAATAACTTATATTTAAAGTTCTTAAACTAAATTTATTTTATTTATGTTTGATAATGAAATTGAGATACTTAAAATGTACAAAAATAAAATCAAGGATATAATTTTTTCTTGTTCTTATTTTTTATTCTTCTTATATAAAGTATATTATGAAATATTTAAATGTTGATCGGAAATCAATATTGGACATGAAATCTTTAATTTATTATTTTGATAAAAAAAATTATTTTATTATAATGTATACATGCAGTTTTATTATTTTTTTATTTACATTATATTAAAATATGAGTTAATTTATTAAGCACCAAAAAGATGAAAACAAATGAAAAATGTAAAACTATGCGAAGAAAAACAGTTAGTTGCGTAAATGTTAAAATGAATTTTTTAATTACAAGTGTTAACATCCGAAATGAAATAAATATTGAAGGATAGAAATGACCGGAAAGTTACAATAACTTTCACTCCTCCTCTACCATAGAGAGAATTTGGATCACTTTTTATTTAGCATAATTTTTTTTATAAGTCTCACATATTTTTTTAAAAGTCTTGCATGGATTATTAATATGTTTAAAAGTATATTTTTCAATTACAAAAATTAACAAATTTAATTTTAAATAAGTTAACAAAATTATTTTTAAATATGTGTGAGTTTTTTTTAAAAATATGCATGATAAAAAAATATATTCTATTATTATAAAAATTTAGATTCTAAAAAACTTAACATAAAATAGATAATTCATACATTCTTATGACAAAAAAAGAATAATTTTATAAAATAATTAAATATTTCATTTAAAAATTTCTAACTAACTAATCTTGAAAATGAAAAAAAAATTATACAAATATGCGATTGTTGGAATTTTTATTTTCTATTCCTTGATTTCGTATGAATAAAAAATGTAAAATGTTTTAGTGAAAATGTCAAAAATATAAATAATTTAATTTTTAATCAATATATATATATATATATTGTTAATAATTCAATTTATATATGTAATTTTTATTATATTATATAGTTACTAAATCTAACAAATTTTTTATAAGTTTAAGTTGAACTTTTTTAAAAACTTAAATATGATATTTTTATTAAATGGATTAAACTTTAAACAAATTATACTCTTATTTAAGGTTTATGATTTAGCTTATTTTTATCTTTGATGATAGAAAAAAAGAAGGTATAAATATCGAAAAAATGTGAAAATTAAAGAAAGATGTTTCCTTTTTATATAGAACATATTATAAATCATATTTAAAATAATTATTTATTTAAATTTTAAATATATTTATATATTTAAATATAATACTTATTTATATACATAATTTATAAATTTTAGTTATATATATAAAAAAATATTTAAATACATATTGTACAAATTAAAATATCAGTTAGATTAATAAATCTATTTCTTTTAAGTAATTCTCTGTTTTATTTTTATTGTGTTTCTCTAAACGAATTTTTAGGAGACAACTTTATAACTCTATCCACTTCTAAAAAAATATCACTTTTTATATACATAAAAAAAAATATTTTTTCTTTTAATTTCAAACAAGTTGATCAAATTTATGTGCTTTTATATACGATTTTGAATATTTTTTTTTACTAATTAAAAACTTAAAACTTATTTTTTTAGATCTATTTATATGGAAACAATTAAATGCAACTGCATTTAAATATAAAAAAGTGTAATAAACAGATAATATAATACTCCCACACACTTTTATGTATATAGAATTATCTAAACATTAATCTAAAATCTTAAATTATACTACTATATTTTTATTCAATATTGATCTATCTTCTATTAATATTTTTAAATTATTATTTTAGATAGTTTAATCATTATACTTCTTTATCATGTTCTAACTTTTTTGTGTACCGTTAAACTAAAACAGTATTTACACTTAAGAAATAAACATTTACATAAATATAAAGAATTTGATTTTAATGTCGAAGTAAAATAATAGTGTGTTCTTTTAAATTTATAATATGAAATTATAAATTAATTATATCTTATTTTTAAGAGTTTATATGAATATTTTATTTATTTATATTTTATTTTATAAGTATTTATGAAAGTATTTATATAAACTTATAAAATATTTTATTAATAATATGTATGATATTTTTGAATTTATTTTATTAAGTTATTCCGTATAATTTATTACTTATATTATGTAATAACTTATTGAGAAATATTTATATTTAATTTTTTTATCAACTTAAATTGCTTATAATTATTTTTTTTATTCTTTCATAAAACAATTAGTTTTATATTATTTTTAATTAATCTCTTTAGAGATTTTTGGTTCCGCTCCCAATTTTTTTTTTTTACTTTATAATTATTTTTCTCTTCTCTTCCAAGATTTTTTCTATCACTTCCCTCCAAATATCGACACTCGCCTATTAGAGAAAAAAGTCTCGTAATTTTTCTTTTCTAAAATAAGTAAATAACATATCCACTTTATTGAAAATCTCCCTCTCAAAGGCATGTAGCATTTTTTTTCTATCGTGGATTTTGGTTATTGTTTTACTGCTTAATTTTTTACTCATCAAATAAATTTCATTACAAAAATGAGAATTTAAATTGGCAAGTCCTTTTTTAGTTTTATATTTTAAAACTTATTTTGTAAAATATATGAAATTATTTTTTAATTTTAAAATTTATGATATTATCGTGGTTATATAAAATTGATTTTTATATTTTATTATTAATTTTTATAAACTAAAGTTAGGTTAATAGTGGCTAATAATTTTTTAATTACTTTTAATATTACTGTAATATATAAATTCATTTTTAAAAAAATATTTAGTTTTTTATTTTTTTTTATTTATAGTTGAGATTTAATTTGTAATTTTAAAAAAATATAATGAGACAACATCTTATAGATATTTAAATAACAATATTTTCAAACACTTCAAAATTGTATAAATACTTGTCAATGTATATATCCAAATGCAACTTCATATTAAATTTTAAACATTTATAATACAAGCTCTCGTAAAACAAATTTTTTTATTAAATAAAATCTTAATTAAGTTATTTATCAAAATGGATTATTAGTGAGAGAGATTGAGATAAATAAATACATAAAAACTTATATTGGATCTTCATTGTCAGTAGTTTCTAATGTCGTTTAATTATGAATATTGAATTATAACTTATGTTTAAATGAATTAAGACAGTGGATGATTAAAAGATTTTTTTTTTAATTTAGTTGTAACAACTATTTTAATTCATATTTATTAATTAATTTATTAACCTGTCAAATAAATAAAAGTGTAGGTACGAGCATTAGTATATAGATCCTTAACAAGTACAAAAATACAATTTAAAGTCTACCTGAGTGTGTTTAACCAACTTTTTGTAGCTTATTTTTTTACAGATAAGTAAAAATCGTGTAAAACACATTCGTATAAAATTCCTTAAAAAAGTAAGTGGTTTATAATTTGTGAATAGATAATAATAATAATAATAATAATAAAAAGTAAATGAGCTTTTGGAGAATCTTATTCAGAAAATTTAAGTAGGGATTTATTGTTAATGTCTCACTTTAAGTCTCACCGATTATTATTTGCATGTATTTTATTTTTATTTATTTTGTTACGGTTATTCTAGCTATATATATTTTTTTTAATTCTGTATTTTGTTGTGGGTTGTTATTGCTTTACATTTTATTTCTTTAATTTTTTTTACTGTGTTGGGTTAATCTAGACCTTTATTTTATTTTGTTGAAACTCGAGTTCTCATTATCTACTTTTCCTCTTACAATTTTTTATTTTATTTTATTTTTACTTTCTTCATTTTTTTTATGGTTAATTTTTTTAGAAAAGATAATATATATTAATATAATTGCATGAAGTGTTTTATTATATTTTATTTAGAATTTCGACATATATAATATTTTTTTGAATATATTTAATGAAATGTAATATTATTGAATTTTGCCTAAATAAATTTATATTTCTTTAAAAATATTATTAAATAATATAATGACTTAAATTTTCTATCGTTTATAGTTTAATAAAATTTTAATTGTTATTATATATAATTTGCTAATCATTAAAAAAATTACTAATCAATTTTGGAAAATCCTAGTTAAATTTTCAATATTTTTTCTTCTAAATTTTTATTTGTTTTTATTAATACTGTAATAATTTTACATGATATTTTTATTTGATAAATATATTTTTTTTATTCGATAACTAATTTTATATACAATAGCATAAAAAAATACTTTTATATTTTATAAAATAAAAATAAATGATAAAATTAATTGAAGTTAAATGTGTG